TGCTGGTCTCTTTTCAGTGGTGGCCACTGGTAGGACTAGAGGAAATGGCCGGAAACTGAAACATCAAAAATTCCATAGGAACTTAAGGAAAAATTTCTTAACAGTGAGGGTGACAGAGCACTGGAACAGGCTGCCCAGAGAGGTTGTGGAGTCTCCTTCTCTGGAGATCTTCAAAACTCGCTTGGATGCAGTCCTGTGCCACGTGCTCTAGGTGTCCCTGCGTGTACAGGGGGGTTGGACTAGATGATCTCTAGAGGTCCCTTCCAACCCTAAGCATTCTATGATTTTATGATTCTATGAATTTGGTCTTGTAAGGTTTAATCAGAACATCTTTTAAAATAGGATTAGCTTGTTTAGCTCTTTAGAGGTTAACAATATGTTAATAGTTGATTTATTGGAGATTTTTGATGGAGGGATGGGCTGGATTTTGATGGATTGGGAATTTTTGATGGAGGGGATGGGCTGGATTTTTGATGGACGTACCGGGGATTTTTGATGGAGGGGATGGGCTTTCCTCAGTGAAGGAGATGGGGTTTCTGGCTCCATTCAGAGCCAGAAAGGAACAAGAATCTACTCAACAACTGACTGCTTCAGCCTACACATGTTCCCTGACCGTTCCAAAATATCCATTGCTGGCTTTTGGGGTGGGTGTCCACTCTTTTTCCATGGAAAACACGGAGAAAATTATTGGCTTTATCCCAGTAAAGACTGCCCTTTTCTTAAATCACTTTTAAAAGTTTTTATAAACGATAAAGCCATTTCCTTCCCATTTCTAAGCCACTCTAGCTACTTATCAAGCTCCAAAACAACTTATTTTCTGACATGAAAAACCCCCACGAGTTTTGAGAAGGTCCTTCTGAGCGGTAAAGAACATCCGAGTGCTGCAGAGAACGACATGCCTGGGGAAGCCGCAATGCACTATAACCGATAATCAGTTACGTGACTCAGGAAGCCAAGTTCTTTGCATTCCACCTACAGCTGAAGGGTGAAACCTTGGCCCACATATGTTAGCAGGAATTCTTTTCCACAACTCCTCTGTTGCTAAGATATCTTACCAGAAAAATTAAAGGCCTGTTGCAAAAGGCCCTGCAGAGGGCAAGTTCGGTGCCAAAAATCGGGAATTCATGCAAAATACATAGTTCCTTGCGCTGACTTGCTATGAAATCTAATCAAGATAGATTTATTGACAACCAGCCACTTTAGAAGGAAGAAAAAAAGGTTAAAGCTTAAATTGATTTTTG